TTTCTAGTTGATGTGTATAGTTTTGAACGCAGTGTGGAAAACTATTGACGCTTGAAAAATGAGCCATTTCTTGCCCGTCATGTATGATGGAGTAAATCGCTTATTTTTATCGAAGTTGCTGACAGCTAATATGCGTCGAATATTTAGGTCATAGAACATTTCAAGTGCGTTTTATGAACCGTTTCAGATTATCTTCGCCTAATCGCGGTAGAATTTGTTGAAATGTGTTCTTACTCGGATGACTGAACGCTGTGTACCAACGTGAACTCCACCAGCGATAGGAATATGAACGTGACGCAGCCAAAGAACCAAATTTCGATGGACTTGATGTAGGCTACTTTTGGCAAGGAATCTTCAATGCTTCTCGAGAGAGTGATGAAAGCCAGCATCGTACTCGTTCCTGTGTAATTTTGAAATAATCCCGACTTGAACGAGGCTAAAAATAAATACAGTTGGGAAATTTTGTGCTCACCCAGGATCACTCGCGGCGACGCTGCACGAGTGTCCATGAAGAAGGACACGAAAGAAGTAATGACCAGGAACAAGGATGGGACGTAGAATTCGAGGATGTAGTGTTGAAATACTCTAGAGAAATGAAGGTGAACCTCGAGTCCGCTGTAATTCCCTGTGATCGTATAATAATTTAAAGTTTATACTGGACAGATCTTGTCCCAATCATTCTTGGAATAGCGTCGCATATCTTGTTCGCTCATCAAGAAAATTTATTCAGTTTGATCTCTCACCTTTTCGGGAAGGTATTCATGCAAATGAAGCGAAACGAGTATCGACGAAATTTCTTCTCTTTTCCATCAACGGCGCTCTCATTGTTATTTATTTACATATTTGTTTGATAACCTGATTATAATTACAGTACTCTTAATCCAGCAGTGCTCACTTGATTAGAAGCCCCGCTTTTTTCTTCCGCGGAAACATGCTTTAAAAAAATATTATGTGATGATTCAATGGAATCTTTCATTATTGGCTCCTCTGTGTTCAAAAGGTAAGTTCATTTAATGCTTCAGATTATCTCAATATTTTTATAAAAATTTAGTCAGAACTCAATCAAGGTTCGAGGTCGCCTCTTAGGTTTGTCGAGTGACTATACGGTATTCCCTCAAATTTCGCTCTCATCCAAAGTTTTCGAAAACTCGTGAGCAGAACACGTACCGTCTTTGAAGAAAACTTTCCCGGATTGAACGCCGAAAAGTGCCTTCGTATTTCCCCTTGCCGTGGTTGAACGAACTCGAACATCGGTATTGACTGTTTTGTGCTGCCGTAAGTCGAGGATTTGGTGTGGATAATCGTAAATCTGTTCTTTTGCTTCTATCTTGTGCAGATCGTATTCCGACATGGAAAAGTCGTCGGCCACTTCGACGGCGTTGCGGTTGGACGTCGGCGGGGTTGTCCACTTGAGAACAAGATCCTCTTCTGTCAGCGTCCAGCTTTCCATCTTCAATCGGCATGTTTGATCGTCGAAGGGAAAGAAGGTCAAGTCGATTTCGCAGTAGAAATGCACCCGCAATCTGCGGAAATCGTGGGAAAATATTAGGTTTTTTACACCACGCGTATTTCTGGGGAAAGACAAAAATCATATCTCGATTAATCTTGCGCATGACGTCGATTTCCAAGTAATATTTGCATTGAGCCCAAATGCGCTGTACGACGTCACATGAGTATTGTACATTGTCCTCCCACCCAACCAAGTGCAGAACATTTTTTCAAGACCTCGCAAGTTTTCCAATAAAAAACTTTGCGTAGCTATCATAACTGCTGTATAATCTCGACGAAGTTATTCCACAAGACATTTTGCGAAGGATCTTTGATGTCCGTCCTTGGGAAATCCCAATTGTTTTACGACAGCACCACAATAAGCGAATCGATTATTCTATGGTCTTCGGGTGTGAAGCGCTGCTTTTTGAATATTTTCCCTGCGCAGAAAGAAAGTTCTTCGAAGTTATTGTAAAATGCGTTGTTTGCTGTCGGAATTTTCGTGACGTGGTAGAGAATCTCTCTTTGGCATCATGTATGTCGGAAAAGTGAAAATTTTCATATGTTTATTTTCTCTAGCTGATCTTGAAGTTGTATATTTTCTTACCTGCAGTTGAAGTAGACATTGCCATCTGCATCAATTTCTACGTATACGTCCTTTCTGGAGAAGTTGAAGACAGAAGAGTCGAGTTCGTTGACGAAGATTATGTTGGGGGTCCAAATTTTCTCAGCTAACCAGGATCCCCCATTGAGGATCACGACATCTTGCCTTAATTCTGGCGTTTTGGTCACTTGTTCCCACGACTCAGCGAAATGTAGGTGATGTCGGAAAGACAACCTGAGGTCTTTCCATTGTTGTCTGAGTAGCATATGGATGCTGTATTGCTGTAAGTATATGATTCCCGTGTACTGTATATTTTACTCTCTTGATAGTCTTGAATTTTGGAGATAAAAATAAGTGAGAAATTCGGGCATTATTTGCGTCTGATAAAAATTATGAAATGGCACGTGAAATAATTCAAATACGGAGACCTATATAAGCTGTACACTTTAAAAGTACCGTAGGATAAAACTCCGATTGATCAATGGCGTTTTGCGGTTCATTAAACCGTGTCGATGTGTTAATTGATATTAAATGTAGCGATCTGAGTACAGTTTTTTTATAATTTGAGTTTCGTCATTTCCATGTGAATGAATTTCAATTATGTCATAATTTGAATCATGGTCACATTTTTAGATTTTAAATAATGCGTGCATAAACCTAAGAGGAATTCATGAGCGGAAAAGAGGACCGATTTGAAAGCGAAAAATTTTTTAGAAGCTGAAAAGGCAAAATATTCCCCTGTAAACGCGAATGAAAATTCAAATTAATTCCCACAGTTATAGTTTCTCATTTATATTTTGCAGAAAAACCTACCATAAATAAAATTGAACTGCTAGTGCAGTATTTTGAACGTATAAAATTGAACTAGAGCAAATATATAACGTAGTATTATTCTCACGAAACACGGGCAGTTTAGCGGTTATTTTGAAAATAATACTAAAAAATGGAAAAATGAGACGTGTTCATTATTAGTATATTATACGGTCTACATAGTATCAATCAGTGCTGAATATATATATTTTTTCATTTCGTGGTCAGAGATTTTATTCCTTCGAAATTATTTTTGCCAATTAACGTTCGAAAATGCAAGTACCGTGCGGTATTTTAAAATTTAGTCGATTAATGAATATTCGTTTCAGTTGAACTCACAGTTGAGCTGGGAGACGGACTAGAAACGTCGTACACGTATGCGCTATGATAAACTTCCAACGGTGAATCGAAGACGCCGGATTCCCGCGGCGGCGGAATGTGTTTGTTGTATCTGACTGGGTCAGTAAGGTTCAAAAGCAGAGCCATCATAAGTTCTTCATTATCCATGGTTCCGAGAACATTTTTGCTGCTTGACAAATTTTCTGCTTCTTCTTTATGAGCTGTCGTAGACGAGAAGAACCTGGGACAAGAGATTAAGGAAAATAATGAGAGGTGATCTAACTATTTTGAGCCTCGTTTGGAACTGTTTTCTTTTAAATATTTTTAAAACGTTGATTCAGCTATGATTTGTTATTTTTCTCTGATTTATGCGTGTAGTAATTCTAAAAAGGGAAATTTAATACACATCCATAAGATGAGAAACTTTTGGGTGGGGTGATGATCAATTTTCAATTGCGTTAAAGCCTCATGCATACAGTGATTGATTTGTTTTTCTTGCGTCTCGAACTGAATTCGGAAAAATCCAGGTTGAACACTTCAACTTTTCTCGATGATCAATCTCTTCCTAAAATGCTTGTTATTGGCAGTAATTCTACTGCGAATAACGAAGCTCGGTCAATTTCCTCAGAACCAGCATCACTTTCCGACGCGTCAAATTAAATTGAAACATTACTGTGATTCATCATACTTGCTTTATAGTTATTTGTATAGTATATTTTCGAAATTAATAGGAATTCAAAATGTTCGTAGCTTTCACTGACTCACATGGCTGCTAGAAGAGCTGGAAAAAACATTTGGCTTCCTGTCTTTGATCCTTTCACTGGATTGGTGAAATGAATGAAATTACTGGAAGTTCCTGTTTATCACCAAGAGGGATTCGCAATTTTATTTCGGAAAGTCGCTGAATTATGACTTGAGATGTTTCGAAATAATTTTTTGTATGATTCTCCGTCAAACACAGTAACCGTCACCTGAACTGTGTGACTTCCCGGAACAGTGTGACTTCAGAGGGAACAGAATAATGTGCGTTCCCGAGAAAGCAGCTTATCGTGTTATAGAATTTACACCACGACGCTTTTGTGTTCACTTCAGGTGCCTTCTTGGTGACATCGTTTGGTTGCACATGGTGAAACTTCGCTATTCACATCAGGGAAGAATCAAGGCTCAATTTCGAGATTACGTGTGAATCGTTTTTGTTTATAACAGAGAGCTGGAAATACGCGCGCGGAGGAATGATGTAAGTTCATTTTTTGAGTCTTTGTTGGCTGAACTAACTTCATGGATGTTTTTACCTCTCGTTACTTTGAAGTAGGCATATCGGTTGCTTGAAAAGTTTAATTCGTTTCTCTTGCAGGAGTCCCGCATTCAAATTTGAACTTCTTCAGTGCTGATGACTAAATGACCACGTTGGTGTTGGTATTCAGACCTTATCGGAAATATACTGGTGAATTATACTCAATTTTTATGCAGCAAGATGATGGGAACAAAAATTAAGCATTTTACAATGAACTGTGGAGATATCCTTGAGAAAGCACAGACGAGATCACCGTATCCTGCGGAAGTACGCATAGATTTTTCTATACGGAACAATTGCAGATGAGAAAACCGGATGTTGTGCATTCACTGGAAGATGGATTCCGTGAAAAGGGGGAAAATTCTCTAGCCATTTTAAGTTTCCTCAACGCACAGGCAGGTAAAAACCGATCCAATCGGGAGAAAAAGTCATGTCCACTGATCTGGAAAATAAATATATGAGTCCTATTAATTCGATTTGAACATATGGAGCATTGTTTCCGAAATATCATAGCATCGAAAACGGAACGATAGGATTTTTAATCCTCTCTTGACTAGCTTGTGCCAATAATGCATTGCAAATGAGTCATTCCATTGAAACCCTTAGGACAATGCGACGCTCAGCCAGTAGAACAAGTTGAAAATCCCGAACGCCAGTGGGAAGATCCACCTCGCGTATCTGTCGATAACTCGTGCAGCTTTCTTCGGAGTGAGTTTCGGGCTGTCGTCGGAATCATTCTCGTCATCGCCACGGACGACGATTTTCGGAGCCGAAGAGCGAAACAAATTGCTCATTCTTGACAGGTATCGTCCACGCTTGCTTCGTCGTGTAATTTTATTGAGTTCTTGACGCGTTTGCTCCAGGTCCAGTCTCGTCTTGTCGTCGTCAGGACTTCTGGCCAGGGTTGACAGGTTTCGGGACTCAACGTCTTCCAACGGCTCGAATGCGACGTTCGATTTCTCGGGAAAGACCGGATGGACCTTATTCTCGAAGGAGACTCCGTTCATCACGATCTCGGGCGTGGAGAGACTACGTCCTTGATTGTCGTGATGAACCTGCATTTCGGGTATGGAAATGTTCCGATAACCGGAAATTGAAACGAAATCCGTATGTGAGTCTAAGATCGCAGAAATCCACGAAGATGCGAATGAACGATTATGAATTATGCCTGATCGAATATCGACGGAGCATATTGGAATGTTTTTATTCAATTTTCTGTTCGCGTTCAAGAAATAATATTCTGTCGTGATAGAAGTACGTCCGTTATTCGTTGACATTTTTTGAACTTGGATTTATAAAATATGGCAGTTAACTAGTTATTTTGAAAAAAAAACTATCTCTTCAGGTATGTTACAGAACAGCTCGTCACGAAACAGCAGTCAACCGAAAAATAGCGAATAAACGGAACTGCGAGTGTGCAAAAGGGTGATGCTGGGTACCAATGAAGCAAGTCCACGAAATAGCGAAGGAAAATGCGTTGAAGGGGTTTGCAAGGTTTGGTGTTCGTAATTAAGATTCGTCCATGTAGGCAATCGATGTTTTAGTATTGACCCCGTTTTGCACTTGCTGTTAATGTATTATACCCGCTCTTCCGTGAACTTGATTTTTTTTTCCTGCGTATAGTTCCTGTTCTGTTGTGCACGCGTCATTGAAATGGTCAACATGAGAATGTCTCCTGCAAGTTTCGAATATCACGGATAGGGGTCGCTGACCATAGTTTGTAAGAACAAATCGTCTCGCAAAAATACACGACTGGACTGTGGATCCGTTGCTTCTGTACCCCGCTTACTTTCATAACAGGATTTAAATAAATTTTACAATATTTCCACCGTGTCAAGAGGAAAAATACGAAGCGACGTTGGAAACGTATGCGATTTACTGCGGAACTGAAGCTGATGCAGTGAGTCCCACTCCCCGCATAGCGAAACTAATCCATTCGTGGATGCGTTTCGTTTAGCAGAACTTTATGATTACGTGGTAACTTATTTTAAAAATTTCAGAAACTCATTTAAAGACCATAAAACCACAACTTTTGTGTTTTCGGCGTAAAACCGTGATTTAAAACAATTGGGTATGAAATTGAAGTACCTCTGAAAATTTGAGCTCTTAAATTTTTAAATTTTGGGGACAAGGATAAGCAAAACTAAGCCAGTATTTTCTCATTTCCATTGAATTTTCAAAAAATTCCAAAGTTTCGTTTCGAAATTCAATTAATTTGTAGCATTTTTGTCCTAGAAAGTTCGCCATGTGAAACATTTTTTTGTTGAATGAGTCAATTTTCTACCACAAAAAAATTTCGCTATGCGAATTGCGTTGTATAAAAGTTTTTCGTAATGCAAGGATCCACTGCTGTACAGTACCGGTAATCCTATCAACTGATTTATCGCATAAGCGAATCATCAAATATATGAAGAAATCACCACTTGAGGAAAAAGACAGATCAATGAGACGTTTTGAACTTCGCCGCTGGTTATGGAGCAAATTTTTTGGATTTCAGGATAAATCATAATCATTGTTCACCTCGAGGTAATTTTCCAAGGATGCTGCAGCACTTATGTGATTGAAGTCCGGTACAGATTCTGTTTTCCTAATGCCATTTGCAGGTGATCTTGGTTGAAGCCACAAGTTGAGTGACCCGGTAATCGAATTTCTCCTGCTGGCGGACGTCGAAATGGCCCTTCGGATGATGTGACCTGGAGTCGCCCGTTTCACGACGTAAACTGGTTTCCTGAAGCGATAGAAAATTACTTCATTGTGTCAAGATTTTTTTAAACATTCGTTGAAAAGAATTTTGATTATTTCTTTATGCTGATGGTTACAAAACGCGTTGTTTGTGAAGTGTTGCTTACGCGGAGGACTGAATGCTGTGGGCCAAAGCAAACTCCACCAGTGATAAGAATATGAACGTGATGCAGCCAAAGAACCAGATTTCAATTGACTTGATGTACGCCACTTTCGGCAAAGAAGCTTCAATGCTTCTGGTGAGAGTGATGAATGTCAGCATCGTACTCGTTCCTATTCAATTTTTTTTTTCAATCGTCAGTAAAGTGAGGCTTAAAAATCATTTCAATGTTGAACGTTCAAGATAATTTCTGCTTACCGAGTGTCACTCGTCCTGGTGCTGAAGCAGGGTCCATGAAAAATGAAACAAAGGAAGTCATGACCAGGAAAAATGATGGGATGTAAAAGTCGAGGATGTAGTGTTGAAATACCCGGGAAAAGTGAAGTTCCACCTCAAGTCCGCTGTAATTTCCTGCATACATAAAAGGCGTGTGCGATATTATTTTTTACACCGCATTGTCTTATCTATTCGTCTGATTGGGGGGAAAATTGTTTGCATCCTGAACCATTATTTGAGAAGTACTAGTCAAAATGTCCCGTATTTAACATATCGCGGCCTTGGGCAAATTTACGCCGGCTTCTGCCTATACATGAGCCGCCAAAGTCTGCAATGATATCTCTCTTTAGGTCCTTGAATTTTGTTTGTTTTGTTTTTTCCGCCTTTCCTCTTATCTGGTTCGAGTTCTAGTTGAGAGGAAGCTGCATAGCGCTGTGACCGTGATTCGACACCCTTGGAACCCTTGAGTTCCTAATGGGATACAGTAAGTTGGGCTCGCCATGATTTTAGAGAAATACAGTAATTTTTTTCTATGAAGAGAGGATGAGAGTGAAAAATAGATCCATGTGAATGTTTTAGAAGTAGAATTTAAAGGGACTGGGAAAAATTAATGAAAAGTTTTTGAGGTTGGGAATTCAGCTTCATTTTGGTAATAAATTAGGAAATCATTACTGTATTTACTCATGTACCACTTGGCCTCAATTAAAATGCACGCATAGGTTTTTCAGCATAAAATGTTCATAAAATTGTATCCCTGAGGATATGATGTGACTAAAAACTGCAACTATAAGAATATCCAAATTCAAATTCAGACATGGATTGAACCTAGTTCAACTGATTTTCAATTTTTTCCTTAACAATAGGTTTTTCTGATGAAATTTTTTGAAAATGTTTTCATTATAATCAAGTATAATGCTCACATGAACTACTAAAACTTTTTGTAACATTTATACCCACCTGTGACATGTGCCCCCTTTTCCCTCTCAATTTTGAAAAATGGTGTGTTTGGTATACTTGAGTTAATATGGTATCTGGTCAAATTATTAGAAGGTTTGACCCGCCAAATCTTTAGTTATATACTGAGGATTAAATTTCGATGGACTTGAAAGAATTGGCCAGACGGGATAAGGACTGATTTCCTTCAACTTGGCAAAAAAGTCGAACTGTACGCATCTGCAGCTTTTTTCTGCTCCTCATTATATTGTACTACAGTACTTTTTTTAAACAGTGATGCGGAACTCCGAGGTGATTCGAATCACACCGATTTGGAACTCAATCCTGATAATATGAAAAGGGGGAAAATGTGAATAGAATTCAAGGACCTTACAGAGATACTTTAGGAGGGCCAGAAATACTGTACACGAAATAATTCTTAGGCCTATGAAAAATGACAAACGCTTACCGTCTTTGAAAAATACTTTCCCGGATTGAACCCCGACGAAAGCCTTCACATTCCCCTTGACCGTGGATGGACGAAGTCGGACATCGGCATTGCTTATTATCTTTTTCGGATTTGACTCTATGGTATAATGTGGGTAATTGTAAATGTGTTCCTTGGCTTCTACTTTGTACAGATCGTATTCCGACATGGAAAACTCGTCGGCCACTTCGACGGAGTTGAGGTTCGACGTCGGGGTCATCCACTTGAGCACAAGATCCTTTTCTGTCAGTGTCCAGCTTTCCATCTTCAATCGGCATGTTTGATCATCGAAGGGAAACAAGGTCAAGTCGATTTCGCAGTAAAACTGCACTCGCAATCTGTGAAAAAATAGTGTGACAATTGATTCATTTATCGCGCGTATTAAGAAATGAAAGCGTTCCAAAATGTTCTGTACAATTCATGCAATTCGAGATGCTTTCATCTTATATATTGGATTTGGTGATCTTGAATAAAGGGTTTTATTGTTTTTATCCCTGTATTACTGAAAAGTGGAGCACCATGCAGCTAATATACCACTGAAATTAATATTAAAGATGATGCTTTGAAATTAGTTTTGAGTCGTCTGAATGTTCGTTCGATTGCATCATCCACGGTAATCTTAAGCTTGAGATACAAAGGCTTACAGTATTTACCAGTGACACATAAACCATCTTTGGAGGCAGAGACAGGCAAAAATTATCCTTATCTATAAAAACATTTCGACCAGATTAAGATGAGAGGCCCCCAAAAATTCTTTGAATCTTGAAATGTTTGGTGCATCTGAAAGACTTCCCGGAAAACCTTCGAAAAATCTCCTGCTTCTTCGTTTTTTGTTGGGTGGAATATTTTTGAGGGACCCTTTTTCTCCGACTGCTCCGGGTTTCTCAAGCATCTTTTGTAATGGGATTTTCAGCTTTCAACAATTCACGCTTTATATATTTTCCGAACAAATATTGGCCAGATATTGTGCAGATCCATCACATTTTTGTGCTTGAAAAATCTCTCGAAAGTTCTTATAAAATGAATGCTTTATTGCGATATTATTTTTGACATTGTGCGGGGCATGTTGCATAGCTTCATACAGTTTGGTCGCTTCTTATCTATTTCGATCTATTTTCTTCGATCATACTCAAATTAACGGAGCATGTATTCGTTTTTGTTTGTTGAGGTTAACCCTAATTCTGCTTTATCTTCCTGCGTTTGTTTTGCGAAGACTTCCGTAAAAAAAACTGATCGTAGCTGATGTTTTTATTTTTTAGGGAAGAAGAATTTGTTGATATGTTTACCTGCAGTTGAAGTAGACATTGCCGTCTGCATCGATAGCCACGTAGACGTTTTCTTTTGAAAAATCGAAAACAGATGAGTCGTGTTCGTTGACGAAGATGATGTGCGGGGTCCAGAGTTTTTCGGCAAACCAGGCTTCTCCATCGATGATCACATCTTCGGATGACACATCTTGCCATTCCGTGGAATTCAGGTAATGTAAGAAAGACAACCTGGGGTCTTTCCATTGTTGTCTGAGGAGCATGTGGATGCTGTATTCCTGTGTGAGGAAACCGTTTTTTTTTTTTTGATCGTTTTCTATTCTGTTCATCAAAGGGAGAAACTCTCGGGATTTTACTGCTCGCGACTGTGTATATACAGTATATGGCTGTAAAGCTACGGACGGAACGACGTATTTTTATTCGTGATGAGTTCTTTGAGTGGACGATGCTTGATTTTCGAAATACCTTGAATCAATGAGTGAAAACCCCCCTGAATGAGATCATTCCAGAATTTCAGAACTATCCTTGCCAAAAACTGGATTTTTGAAAAGCATGTTCCTCAAGAAATTTAAGACAACGAGATTTGTCTATCGTTGTGTGAACACCGCATGGTTTCAAAAAGAACTGCGTGGGATAAAAACCCGATTCTTTTCACTAATGATCAAAATATATAATCGTAATAGAAACCTCAAGGATTATTCCGCGGGAGGATGTGCTAAATATAAGTGGAGTACCGTATTTCAAATAAGAGGTTCCTGATTTTTTAATGTATTCGAGATGACTATATGAATTCAATTCTTTTGTTGAAAACATTGATTTCTCTTTCAGTTGATCTCACGTACCGAGGAGCTGGGAGACAAGCTGGAAACGTAGTACACATAGGCGCTGTGTTTGACTTCCAGCGGGAAATCGTAAACCCCGGATTCCCCCGGCGGCGGGATGTGCTTGTTGTACCTCACGGGGTCAGTGAGGTTCAAAAGCAGGGCCATCATGAATTCTTCTTGTTCCATGGTTCCAAAGAAATCCGTGTTGCTGGGCACAGGTCCGTCCAACTCCTTACCAATGGCCATCGACAATGAAAAGCTGAATGACGGATTAAATTCAAGGTTATCTTTGATTGATCTTAAGTATGTTTGTGGGTTTTTATGAAGGAGAACGGGGGGTTTGTTGGGTATGCATCAGTTGAACCTGGAGATAACTCCAACCTCCTTATTCAAATACTGTAAGTCTGTGTCTGAATTTACTGGAAATCATAGAATTAAAAACCTCATCTCTAACTCAGAGGCTTTCTTTCTCAAACTTCCAGAAATGGAATTTTCTGGAGGCCTGACACAGGATGACAGAGAGTAGAACAAAATGTTAATTGGATTTATTTTGAAGCAAATTCAAAGAAGAATTGGGAATAAACCCTTGCTTTCAAGTTCAGAATCTTGTAGTCAATTCATTTGAAATGCAAATTAAGGCCTGTGTATAGAATATCACAAATTACAATTTCCTGTAATTGGTTTTTTTCCTCACAAATATGCAAATTTCCTCAACTCCAAACTTCCTCGACTACTTTTTTTGCTGGTCCCACCTTGGAGTAAAAAAAAGAAGAAAAAACAACGGATTTTTTTTCTCACTCCAAGGTGGCTTCAGCAAAAAAAATTCCGTTGTTCAGAGAAAATTTTTGTAAAGAGAGACCCCTGCATTTTCAAAAAGTTGTCTCTGTTATTACGTTAATCTAAACACGTTTTCAACTTTCTCTGATCAAATAATTGCAGAAGAAGTAGAACTATAAATTTTATTCATGATATGAAACGATTTTTGGATGCGTTTCCTATCCGAGGATTTTTCGTTTTTTTAATGTAACGGTTTTCGAAAATAATGAGTACTTGAAATTGCATATAATCAAAACTTACGTCGCTGCTAAAATTGTTGAAATGAATGGGAATAACATTTTTCCTGCGTGCCTGTTTCGCTGGTATGGTTGAAAATTTTCTGCGTCACCATGAACATGAAGTCTCGCTGACAACATTATTCATCAAATAAAGAAGATTATTACTATGGTGGAACTAGTGCAATTTATTGCGCGCCTGAGTTGGAATACAGCGACCTACTCATATCTTTTTCGTAATTTCACCATCGAACATCACAGTTTACCCGAATCATGTGACTTCAAGGGACAGAATGAAGTGGGTTCGCGAGGATCTGCTTATCAAAGTTACACCACGATGCTGAGGTTTATTTCTGGTGCACTCATGACGACTTTGTTCAAGTTTCATGGGGAAACTTCCGTGTTTATACAGAGGGGAGGGGGGAACGTTAATCGTTTTTATATTGTTGCGTGTATATGTATATCGTTGTTTCTGCATGGGGAGTGGGGACCGAAAATTATGCGCATGTGTAATGCATGCCATGTGAGATTATTTTGTAGCTTGGCTGAATTTTATGAGATTACAGAATTGTCCATTTTTTAGGATTGAGGTTGTCTCCGAACGCACACAATTCATCAAGGCGTAAAATATAATTCCGGTACAGTACTGCAAATAAATGAAGAAATCATGTGGTGCAATTGCAAAATATTTTCAACTGTTCATTCATCACGAAACTGAAGGGTGGACTGGAAAAAACTAGATAGATTTCCAGGCCTAATTATTGTATTTTTACTCAGGTTCATTCTGAAATTTGGAAATCAGATGTGCTCAATCCTACGTCAAATGCAATACTGTATGCTTTAGCTATCTAGTGGCATTTTGCTTTCTGCGACAGGCAATGATTTACTGTATACTCAATTGCAATCAAATTCAGGCCGGTGACGTAATAAAAAGGTACTTCGTAAATCGTACTAAGAACTGTTGTGACTGCCACTCGCGAGGGAATCGTTTCGGATTGTCATCCTCACGCAAAACCCCGTTTACCGTACCTCCCGGTTTGAAGACAGTGTAGTCTAACGGCACCTTTTGGGTTGACTGTACATTCGCTGGTACTTTTCCAGTTCAAGCTTTTCACAGGTGTCGCTCGTAGTCTCATCGCTACGCCACTCGGAGTAGTCCGAACTTCGGGAAGTCTTCGCACCGCACGAACCGGTTCTACCGTTAGTACCACCTTACAAGTCTAGGTGTCGCTCATAGTCCGTGGGTTATGATGCCCGATGCCCGTCCGTTTCACTCTGCAGTAGTCCCGAAACCCTTCGTGCCGCACGAACCGGTTCTACGTGGAGTACTTTACGACCACACAAGTTCTAGAGATTATCGTCCGAACTCCGGTTTGTAGCTGGGTACCGGATTAGCCCTGCAAATGATACGCAATCTATGTTTTCGAAACTCCCAACTCGTTCCAAATCACTCGAAATGTAGCCTACACGGTCCATGCTGGTCGCGTGTCCACCACCAGCAGCTGTCATAATCGCGTCTGCTGTAGCTCCTATATCCGCTATAAATACGCTCCACCGATACTGAGGCATTGCGTCAGGTCCGTGCTGTTCCCAGCAAGCCAGCCAGTAGCTTGCTGGGAATGACAGTTGGCATGTGGCTCCGTGCGGGCGCTCTCCGGTCGCCGCCGCGTTGATGCATCACGTCCTTCAATGCAGTACCGTATATACAGTACATTCATCCAGGTTTACTGTAGTGTAATGTACGGTACTGTACGCGACATGCGGGACTCGTGATGATGATGATGGGGGTGGTGGAGAGGGGAGTGAGAACCGGGCTCGCGGCAGCGGGGCCCTATTCTGGCTTCCATGAAGCTTCGCTGACGTGCTCTCTTCTGCCTGCCTATATAGCAGTGGTGCCAACGGTCGTTCGGCGTGTTACGGGGCATCTCATCTGGCACTTCGGTAGACTGCGGGAAATGTATGCGTCGCACGACTGCGTGATGTGAAATGTGAAAAACAGCTGAGATTGTAGCCGTTCGTTTTTCTTCTTTATTTTTTGTGGGCATATATAGAATGTGAAAAGGGATCTCAGCAAAATTCAGGTTGTCGGGTAAAAAGGAAAAGACGAGTTTCAAGAGGAATTGGCTGATGATGCGTTCTGGTGAGTCAGTTCCTGGAAAAACTGTTGAAAATCTGGCGTTTGTGTCTGATTCAACCCAAAAAGTCCCTCAAATCTGCTTGGCGAAATTGGTGCAAAAATTCAATTTTTATTCAAATTAAAGCGATGATGACCATGAGAATCAAATGCTATAAAATAAAAACGCATAAATCATGAATTGCATATGAATGTGACATTAAAATTAATTCTGCTTTCTTAGGTACAGTGAAACCTCTATACTGTAAATCAAATTCACTATAGAGACACACAGAAAATTTGACAGAAATATTTTGAGTTGAAGAAATAGCATTTCTGTTTGGAGAGACTCAAGAAATAAGGCCTGATGAACTGCTGAATGAAGGAATTGACAGAATGCTGAAGTCAGTGGCAAGGATACATTTGCCCAACTATAGTCACTCATTTCATTTTTAACAGCATCAAGTAACATTCTCACTACACTTCTTCTTCCCAGCTGTCATAACGCCCCCTTCCAAAAAAAAAAACCCCAAGGGCTCTCAAAATATTAGTCACTGAGGTTTGATGGAAAAGTCTTTGAGTTGGGGAGGTCACTGTTCTAGAAAAAATTCAGACGGGCATCAAAAGATGAATTTGCAATAGTGATGTTCAATTCGGCAAAGTCTAACTGTCCCTCTATTTTAAATTTTCAAGAAATTCCCTCCCCACTTCACCTTTTTTTTTTCAAAGGTCAGTATTTAATGACCATAAACAACTCACAAGCAGTCAGGTAGGTTATTTATGTTTCCTCACTGGTTGGACGCAGAAGATCATTCATTTGTGGGTACATGAATATTTTTTATTTAAGAAATGTTCTATCAATTTTCTTCACTAGCTGGTTGGGGATGAAAATAGTGCCCCAACTGGATTCCTTTCTTTGTTGAAATTTCATCGATAAACCAACCGCGGGGAAAGGCTTGTTTTTCAAGAGAGTGCGCGCGGGGAAGAAGCGAGGCGGTTGGCAACTTTCAGGGCGCCCGCGCAGCGGGTAGACCAGCAAGTAAGCAGCAGCCGGGCCCGCAGGTGGTGCCCGCGAACGAAAGAACCGAAACACGTCGGTGTTGTCGGCTACGCGTGCATGGCGTGTTCTATGAGGCTAGCGCACAGCGTTGGTTGCAAGAAGGAAAAGAAGAAGACAAGGTAAACGAGAAAAAAGATGGGGCGAAATAAAAGAAAGAAAACAATGGAGACGGAGAAGATTTTCTGCAGCCTCCGATGTTGCACGCGCGGGGTGCCGCGCCCGGGGACCAACCAAACAGGGAGAGAGAATGAGCCATTGGGGAGAGAGGGAGTGCGAGGTAACTTGCGGAGGAGAAGCCAACCCTCTCTTCTTCCTTCACCTCGGCGATGGAACATTTCTCCGCTCTTCCGCGGCAGTTATCTGTCGGTGCCCGTCCCATGTGGCGGCGGTTTGGTCTCGGTAGCTATGGAGTGACGCGCCTTGTTGCTCTTCTCCCACCCCCTCCCCCTCCACCGCCTCCACATCGACTCTCTCATCCAAGCTGCTGCCGGCGTCCCAGCAGGCAGCTGTTGACGAAAAGTGCATGTGTGTGTGTGTGTGTTTGCATCTGGTGGGTGTGTGCACGTTCATGTGCTGACTCTCAGGCCTCTTCTGCTCTCCTGGCTGTGGTTCCCAACCTTTGTGCTGTGGTGCATGTCTGCAGGGGATCTAACTCCACTCCTCAAAGGGCTCTGAAGATACAGTACTCCATAAAAAAGGGAATAAGTCATGTTGCAAAATGTTATGTTTGTAACACTAACATACGTGAAGTACTGTCCATGTGTGACATAGACATATGGACCATATTATGTAGTTTGCAAAGAAAATAGAGAAAATTCCCATTTTTACCCCATCAGGAAAATTTGTGCACATTGGGGTTATGCCTTGGATTCCACATGGTGGCCCTGCTGACAACCAAAGTGTTTATAAGTGTGTGTCCCATATGTGCACCAGCTGTGTGTTTACACTTGAAGTACTTCAATCATAACCCTGCAGATTACACCAATCACCAAATGTATACTAACAGTATACCAAATGTAACCCTTTGTACTAGATGTAACCCTGGAATGGTAGACAAATTCTATCTTCACCAGTACACTTTGGTAACCCCAGAATAAACAGCGTGTACCAAGTGCCCTGGTGTGCATACACCAATTGTGTGGTTATAGAGAGAAAATATTGTAGCTCCCCATCACTTGGGATCCTGATGTAATTCACATTTGTGTTACGTTGTGGACCTTCTTTTTTGTTGCTGCCAAGATGTAAAGAAATATTGCGCTTGTTACGTAAGTAAGTATGGTTATGAGCAACAGTTACTTTGTTGCTATCTCTCCTGTTTCAAATGCAGGTTTTAATTACAAAGCTTAGGGTAGGTTTGAGGAGCTCCACCATAACCATAAAAGGCAATTTTAATTCGACAAAAGGTCTCCGTGAATGGAAAAAGGTTGGGAACCGCTGCAGCAGGGCGTATTCGGTATGGTAGAGGAAAAAAGTGTGTAATGTATATGTACACCTCCTACTCAACATTGCGTCATGATGTGGCTTGCAATCTTCGTGTCGTGTTCGTGCCTCGATGAACGTTTCTGCTGCGGAACGTTGTGTTTTATGTGCAATTTCACTCCGTCCATTTGCTGAAATGTGCTTCTGCGAACAAGGTAAGTGCTAAACTTGTGCTTAAGCCGGAGTCTTCCCCTTAAAGTGACATGGTTCTTCCTGAGGTGGTTTTCTGATGGGAAGTCTTAGTTGTTCATTTCCCAATCATTTTCTAAACCACAAAGCTTACGGAAAATGTGTGCCCCAAACATCTTCGGTTTGTGATCCAGAACGGTTCGTGATCTTCTGTTTGTGACGTCATCGGGTGCGATATAGGTACAGTACTGTATAATAAACCTGATGCTGATCCTCGCACAGTGAAGGTACAGTTATTATTATTTTTTTATGTCGTTGCTACTGTATCAGAGAAATATGGCTTTGGGGTGACTGCTTGATACAGTACACGGGAGTCTGTTGGTGATGACACGAGAGCTTATGGACACTGTCCTCGTGCGCATGTGCAACGCTGTTGGCGACGGAGGTGTCGCGCGGCAACCCTGTTATGGCAACCCTGTTTCGATCGACCAACAGAGCCGATCGCGCATGCTACCAGTTGCAGCCCGCGCGTTGATGGTATGCGAT